TGTTAGAGGGATGTCGCTAACATACGAAATAGCTTCATCCTGTCCTCTTCGATATCATATATCTTCTATACCTTTCTGTCTCTGTCTATTCTCTATCTTCTTTTTCCTTTTTTTCGTCTGATACATATATATACTTGTTACGCTTCTATTGTTTTTTTTCATTATGATTATAAAATAAAACTAAAGTGAAACGTTCTCACTAACAATGCCAGTTTCATTATTAGATATGCCTGCTTCTTGTTCTTCATCAACAACCGCTGTTCGAAGCACATCCATATCAAATGAACAAGAAAGTTCTTCTGAAGGTCAAAGAGTCGAAACAATGGATTCCGAATTTGTGTCAAATATTTTTCTTGAACAAGATTCACTTCAACAACTGCGAAGATGTTCCTTTTCCCGTTGGCCACATCGTACTAGTCCATCAAGTGCACAAATGATTGAAGCTGGATTTTTCAATTGTAATGTTGGTGATCGAGTATTTTGCATTCATTGTGATCTTATTTATCAACAATGGACACATAGAGATGATCCATGTGAAATACATAAAACACTTTCACCTAATTGTATATATGTTAAAGCAAAATTAAGACGTCCTATAGCTTCATCTATACTTATTGCCAATAAAAGTTCAGCAGGAGCAACTTCAGGCAATCATTCATCAACATCAAATAATCTCGGTTCATTACGATCTAATGATATTAAGTTTACAGCTTCATCTAATCCTACTTATTCAGAAATACCAAAACGTCATGCATCATTTGCAACATGGCCAACCGAAGATTTACCATCAGTAGATGATTTAGTTCGAGCAGGATTTTTTTATACAGGTACGAAAACTATTGTTACTTGTTTTTATTGTAATGGATCATTACAAAATTGGCGTCCAAATGATAATCCAATGATTGAACATGCACGTTGGTTTCCACATTGTGCATATGCTCGACAATTATGTGGTGATGATTTATATCGTAAAATTCAAGAATCTAAACGAGCACAACAAGGTATGTTTGAAAAATTATAAAAATTTAATCCTTTTTTTTTGTTTTTTTGTCTAGAACGTGCTCGTGCCAATGAATTAAAAGAAAGAACAGGTTCTGGTGAGGTGGTAACTACTAATCCAACATCCAATAGTCGACTATTATTAATACCCGATGAAAGTACTTTATCGAGACTTGTTGCTGCTCGGTTAGATTTACCAATTTCACAACGTTTAGTAGATCAACTACGAATAGGACGTAAGTTAATCAATAAAATAATGTCTTTTGTATTTTATGAACATTTTTCTTAGATGATGATTTTGTACCTGAATGTGATTTATATACTGCTTGTTTAATTCTTCAAAAACAAATTGAACATATTGATGGTAAAAAAGACAACATTGTCATACCAAGCATAAAAATGAAACAAGTCAGAGAACAAAATGGTGAGTTTTTTTTATAGGTATATTCCCAATTTCTATTCTGTTATTTTTCAGAGAAACATATGCGTCAACAAACATCAATTATACTTAATGCAGATCAATCAGTGCGAAACCCTGCTGATGTTGAAATGACGAGGTCATCCCAATCATTAAGAAATGAATCAGCATCTTCCAAATTGTTTATTGATTCCACATCAAAATCAACAACCAATGGTAATGAACGTGAAACAATAACAACCAAACAAATAAGTACTATCAATGATCGAAATCAATCAATTAATGTAACACCATCCAATCCATGTGTTCTTTGTTTGACAGAAGAGAAGCAATTAGTTTGTATACCATGTGGACATATGGCAACATGTGTCGCATGTAGTCATTCATTACGATCGTGTCCAATATGTCATCGACAAATGGAAACATGGGTTAGAATTTATTTCTAACGGCAAATCATTTTTGTTTTACGAAACTAAAGTTGGGTGACTGTTGTCGATTGCCTTTCTAGTTATCATTGATTCTGAAGTCATTCATATATGAAAAGTCGTTCTTTTTTAATCGTATTTATAACCTAGCTCAAATCTTATATTTTGGAAAGTTTTTAAATTAATTCTTTCAAATTTTTATTCTTCTTAATCATTACCTCAACTGATTATTTCTATAATAAATATAAAACCTATCGAGCCTATACTATTAATATCGATAGGAAACCAGTGAACTATACCAATACTTGTGCTTTTTTTCTCTATAGTTTTATTCTAAGTTTCTCATCTTATTGTATGTTGACAATAAATGTTCACTAGGTAGACTTTCTCTACGAAAGACACAAAAATAGACGAAAATCAAATTATTTTTATTTATTTTTAACGGTTCAAAAAATAATAAATGAATCAGTGTCTAAAAGAGATTTTACTTTCCTCGTAGGAATGTATTGATTGTAAATGCCTCGATATATACCCTTCTTCTGATTATGAATTGCTCGAACTTGAGGATGTGGATGTGATTATGAGTGTAGAGAAGATCCACATTCACACCCACACCCCACTCATATATGCCGTTCTGTTTTTCAATGGATTTACGTATACTCACATAGGCAATACTTGCCGCTTCAATCCATGCAGTAACAATACCTGTAAACATGTGCCGAGCCATTTCTTCTCTTTTCTCTTAATGGGCAGTGATTTGTCGTTAATAGCTATTTTTCACTTCAAAAACATACTTTTGGAAAAGACAATTTGATGATACTAGCTATCACCATCAAGTATAACATTTTTTAATATATCAAGTGAACTTGAATAAATACAAGTAGAAAGAAAAAAATGTTAACACACAAAAATCTTTGGATCAAAAAGAAAGAACTAAATTATTTACATTCATTATGATTTTTCCAAAATAAGGTAAGTATCTGGTCTTTAGTCCAAAATATTCTACTCCATCGTTAAGCATTTTCCCATGTTAACTTCAATATGTTCCTGAAAATTCCACTCCCAAGTCCAATAATTTCTCGAAAGCATTTGCAAAATCTGTGGCAAACTGACTTCCATTGTTGGCATATTCTATCACATAAATTTTAAATTGAGGATCTTCAGTTAGTATAATATCGGATGGTAACCTTAATAAAGATTTTGTTTGCACATCTTCGAACTGTGTTGGACCTTGCCAATTACGTTCTTGCCATGTGTCTTCCAATAAACCACGGAAAAACTCATTTGAAAATGTGGTCGGTGTTAATGTCCACGGTCCTTCGAAATTGCTTCGATCTTTGTGACACCGACCCAAAGAATGAGCACCAATCAAAGCAACAATTTCACGATCATCGAAACCCATTCGATTGAAAATATTCCGAATAGTTTGAGCATTTTGAGAAGCACTCGGTAATCGATTACTGGGCGGTGAATCTTTTCCATTTTTAAAGTCAACTCGTCCCTGTCGCCA